TTTTTTTTTTACCTTCCTGAACCACCTCCAATCCAACACACACCCACACACAGACGCACACAGAATACTTTATCCTCATATTAGTCGTATGTGTAACTGAAGTCTGTCATGTGGCTGCAAAGTCACCTGGCAGCAAAACTGTCAAAATGCAATAGCTGCAGAGCGGCTTCTTGCCATGCAAGCAAGATAGAGATCTTTGTGCTTTCTTTCTGTCTCAGTTACAAACACGCTCCCTCTTTCTTCATGGCTCAGCTGATCATAAATTTCAACAGCCATGTCTCTGAGTTGGCAGGACTTTTGGGGCCCCGCTGATCTAATCAATTGTGAACACATCTCTTGGTTAATAACTATTCCCGTCATTGGGGGGGGGGGGGGGGGGGGGGGGGATTCGGATTGATCACCATGATTTAGAGTAGCCGTGCGGCACCGTCCTGCTTGTCGATTTTTTCTGAGGCAAAGTTATTTTCAGGAACGAGGACGTCTCCGCTCATCTGCTCATCCGACAATTTGCAAGCTTAGAAGTGGGAGGTGTGTGCGTTTGTGTGAGCTCCTGCTCAGCGCTCGGTCAGCAAAGAAGGCATCACACATGCACACACACACACCCAGTGACCCCATCTCAGAGCCATTTTGGGTAATGCACTACAAGGTGAGCTGAATGGACCCTGATTCCCTCCCCTCTCTCTTTCTCTACTCAATTCTGTCGTCTAACACATTTTTACGAGATATGTTTGCGAGCATCTGTTTATTACTTTTGCTGCAGTTGTTTTCTTGACTGTCGAGTACAATGCTGGACTGTCAGTAGCTAATAGAGACCAAATTCATAGTTTACAATCCTTATCTTGTTTGCAGGGATATGAATAATAAAAACGAGCATATTTTTCCAATTAATACCAGGCAAAGCATTTGGCTTGGTACTAAAAAAAAATACTGAGGCCTGTTCTGGACAGCAGAAGCTGTGTGGCTCTTATTTTATTTTATTCAGCCTTGCAAAGAAGAAGAAAACGGAAGAAAGTAAAAACCTGCCTTGCTGCACGGTTTGCAGCGTGCATCCGACCAGATGCGTTTTAGCTCTACGACGTTCAGAGAACAGAGAAGTCTGGCCTCCCCTGATGGGCTCAGGAGCTGTGTTTTGGTGCAGACCGCTTGCTGGGGGTCCAGTGCTTCCAACATTGCCTCACTGTCCATGACTAACATACCCTGTTGAGCTTGAAGGGAGAAAATGTGTTTTCTCCTAGCATAAATACTATGCAGTTATTTAATCATATTTCCCTGGCCTGCACCCGCAGTCCCTGCAAAGCAAGAGCTGTCAGGCTGTTTGAAATCATGAGGCCTCTCACTGATCAAAGGCAGTTGTTTATATCGCGTCACTGAAGTTTTTTTGGCAGGGCGGGATATTGTGACAATCTCCTGCTTGTTATCCATGCAATCTTCTTTAGCACTCCGGCACTGCCCAAGGTGAAGAGCAGTGGGCCCTCCTGCAGGGAATGCCATATGCAGAGAGAGCACAAGAAAGACTGGCTGCAAAGAGTGCTGTCAGGATCAAATCTCCTCTCAGAGAGGCAGGAAAGGAGCGACTGTGAAAAACATGTGCTCCATCAAAACCTCTATCACAGTGCTCATGACTTCAGCTGTTCTCTCACAGTTTTAGCTTACACCTGCACTTCTGCGCGCAGCGTCTCTAACTCACGTAGGCCAGAACAGTCCAGCAAATGCACGCACCAGAATTATTCTCTTTTAGATGAAAATGCCATGAAGATGTTTTTAGCCACGACCACAGAATATTCTATTTTCAATGCAGTGACTCTACCAGCCAGCATCTGTTCAAATTACTGTGCAGCTCTGTGCCGCGCGGACAGGGAATGGTCTGCAGACATAAAATAAAACTCAGAAAATTCTTCCGAACGAGATCAGGAGGGATTTAGAAAATCACAGTTACACACTTGAATAAAAGCTCTGCTGCGTCTCACACACTTGCAATTTTGCAAGGCCATCGGGGCACAACAGACGCTCTTATGGGCTAGACGGGGACGTGGCGTGGGCTGCTTAATTCGAAGCTGAAAACGAGGGGCAGCATCAAAGTGTAAATTTAACAGGGCTGTAAAGTGACAGGGCACTTTTCCTGGCCTCTTTATTGACTGGGGTCAGCGTGGTGTGTTAAGAGGAAACACAATACATCATACACCCCACGAAGGCTGAGAGAGATTAACAACGTGTCATTCAAAGTGAAAAGGAAATATCTCAAAAAGTAGAGAAAGAAGAAAAAACACTAGCAGAGTATATTTGGATTACATTCGTGAAAGAGAAATTAAATTGGGGTCATCAGAAGAGCCTAGCCGTGCACGCTGGGCAGTCAAACGAAAGCCTTAAAGATTGATGTAAAATACGATGCTGTTTTCAGATGCTCTTTGTTTTACTCATCATCCGGTTTAACTCCATAACAGATCACAAATGCAGACCTAAGCAGACTGCTGCTAAAATGAAAGATTTGCAATATAATGTGTAAAATAAAGTGTTTTGTCATTATTTTATTACACAGACCCGAGACTTATTGTTTGTAATGAATTATTGTTTCATATTTGTACTTTTAGTTAAAGCTAAAGTATTTTTAATTGTTGCACAACAGTGAGATGATGTGTCGTATAATCAAATAGACTCAAATGAAACCTTTAAACAGAATGAGTACTTATTTACATATTCAGCAGTTTGAAAGCACATCAGCACTAAATGTAAGTTTCATGCAGCGTGCCAAGTACATCACTGATATCCTTTCTTAGCTCCGGGTTTGGTCTCAACCAACACATTTACTGTCCTCATTATATTCCTGCACTTTGTTTAGTGTCGAAAGCATTAAAAATGTGGATCAGACAATTTACCGGCTGTATGTTATAAGAGATCCTCTCCGTGTTGTTGTGTTGTTGTTTTTTTTACATCATTAAAAAAAGAAGAAGAAGAAGAAGAAGTCCAAAAACATCTTCAACCTCTGCTGAAGATGAAGCGATCATGGCCTTGTCTCTTTTGGAAGGATATTGCTGCACTTCGGTTTCTTTGCTGTAATATCAGGTGCTTACATACATACAAGCATACAAAATGCACTTTTACACCACTGCTGTACACTGGGAAAACCTGATACTAAACAAAAGAAGCATGAACACATTTCTGTTTGTTCAGTGTTTGTAACCATGCAACAGGTAGCCATTAACCTCTCTGCAACAGAGCAATAAGCCATCTCAGCAGGCTGTGAAAAATTCAGACTGTGAAAAAAAATCCCATAAAGACAAAGGTTGATAAATCACCTCTCACGCAATCTCTGTCTTTCTCGCTCTCACCCCCCCTCTGCATCGCTCTCCCTGTCTCTCACCCACCAGCTCTCTTCCAAATGTTTCTCCCAGACTTTGGAACAAAACTGAATTTCCTCCATCTTATGTTTTTGTTGTGTGATCGAAACAGAACATTCCTTCCGAGTGCGAAGAGCTTGCCCGTCTACATTTTTCTGTTTTGTTTTTTTCGTGGGAATGCACAGACATAAAATGAAGGGGAAAAAAAACCCGTGTTGAAAACATGCGTGATGGCTTTTTTTTCCACTCAAGGTTTCAATAACTGCAAGTGAATTTGAGAACACAACGTGCAACCAGTTTCCACCAGCTAAACATCCAAAATGCTTCAGTCCTAACAAAGTGCTCTGCAGCAGCTCTGTTTGGAAATTAAAAACTCCCAAACTGCCTCGCCTCTTTGATTAGGAAATATTAATTACCCAGCAGCAGGAATACTACAAATACCACAACTGATCAGACCGACAAAAGACGCTGACACTGACAGAAAAACTGGGGAATCCTACTAAATCAATCACAAATCATAAGCTAAATTTTAACATTAAAAAAAGAACCACAGAGTTTCAATAATATGGTTTGTAGAATAAATAATAAATAAACTGAAGAAAAAAAATCTATTTTTGTGTGTATTTTAGTTGAACTTTATGTTTACATCATCATCAGAGTTTCAGAAAGTGCCCGGCCTTCAAAAAGCAGAAATCACAACAGAAGAACATCTTGAAAAGAAAAAAACCCAACAAGTTATTGATTTGGAAATTTGAACCGTTTGCCATAATTCACCTCGCTAAACAATAAGTGTACAAAAAATTTCAGAACCAATCTGGAGTCTTCTAGTTCTGCGTAAGCGGTCAGTTTACATGAAGCAGTGACAAAGAGACCAAAGGAAGTCCTGGTCCTCGTGAGCCTTTTTCTTTTGCCCTGCTGCTCTCACTCGGCCATGCAAACCGAGCCTAATGTAAATTACCCTGCCAAACTTTAAGCTAAATGGTAAAATGATCCTGAGTCCTTGTCACCTCCACTCATGTCACCGAGTTGCTGAAGTGTGCCTCAGTTGTCTGGGCTGCGTGGCTGGTTCCCATTATGCCCTGCTCGAACCAATCAGCACAGATTGCCATTACGAGTGGGTGAAATTGTTGCAGTGGGGCTAAAAATGGTTAAGGAATATAAAAAATGTAAAAAGGCTGAAGAGTACAGGGGCAAAACCTCACAAGGCAATGAAAGCATTATGTAAATGATGGTCCTACTGAAGATAATTTCCTTAACTGCCTGTGTAAGTTATGAAATATTAATACCTGCAGGGCAGCAGAGCAGTATTTAATTCTGGCTGTGCAAAGAAATCAGTTTAACAAACAGCAATTTTTTATAGCTTTCAACTGCAACAGCGGCATATCTTTAGTGAATAATGTTACTGCCTACACCTAAAGAAAAAAAAAGTATATGAGGCACAAATCTCCTCTAAGAAGGCCTGCAATCCTCCATGCAAAAGCACAGATGAGTGACAAATTACAGGAAAAAACTCAACTCCTGTACCCCTACAAGGAAGATATGTGGTGGGAGTTCTTAATGACCACCTTTACTCTCTAATGGAAGATAACCCTCACCCCACTCCAACTCATAAGGCACGAGGAGGTCACTGAGTGGTGATAAGGATGAAGCTCATCATATGGATGGCCTAAAGCCTATGATGGCAGATTCTGGATTGGCACTCTCCACCATCAGAACTCAAAATGAGGTAAACATCTTCTTTCATCCCTCCAGTGCAACATTTCACATATTTCAGATTACTAATAACTTTTTTCTTTTCCTTTAAATTGTCAACCATCTGCACTTTGTCATGCTGGGGTAGTTAACCATGCACCGTGTAAAGCTCGAGTCCAATTCTAAATGTTGCAAAGAGCTCTGTTTTGACACCAGAGCGTTTCGGATGGGGGGGGGCTCAAATGGATTTTCTCTGCTGTGCGCTTGCAGGGGAGCTCCCGCTCCTCTCCAAACACATGAGGGCAGGAACGCCGAGCTAAAGGTCAGCACCCTGAGACACTGAGAGAAGACATGGACACATCAAAAGAGGAAGAGGATCACAAAGACATGTAGGTGGTTGTTTTAAGACTACGAAGTGACCTACCGGGGCCCTAGACTTCTATTTTTTCACCATTTTTGAAAGTTTTTCATACAGTAGAGTTTGTGAATCGCATGCATATTTTTCTGGTTGTGGTGGTGACAAGATTTCTTTAAAAAAGGAAAACGTGCATTATCTGTGATGGAAAATAATTACCAATTCTCAAGGTCCCTTATTTTTAGTATTTCAAGTTTCTGCAGCTTGTTTAACCTGTTGGAAAACCATACACCACTGAAATTGCAAATATTATAATATTTTGCCTGTAAAATCATATACATTATGCTGTGAAATAAATGACCTACAAAAATCCAGTAGTCCAGAAACACTCATTAATCTCCATATGGAATATTTTCTCCAGTATATTAAATTTTGAGGGATTCTTTTAAAATAATACTTAATTAATTCTTTATTTTTTTTAAGGAATGTGAACCCATAACTTTGGCTCTTTTTATAGATATTTTAATACAATTAAATCTGACATGTAGCCTGACTGTTGCTTTAAATCAGCCTTCAAACAGTGTTTTTAACCACACACTGCTCTTTCAGCGCGCTCTCTCATATTCTTCTCCCAGTCTATCAGTCGGTCTCAGGCTGTCAGCCCTCAGCCTGAGCTGAAAGCTCTCTTCGGGCTCCAAGAGCTGCCTTGTTGATTTGCTGTAACAATATGATTGGCAGTGTGCTGAGTATAAACAACATAGCCGTGTTTGCAGTTCCTCTAATGTAAGTAAATGTTTATTAGACGGTTACGCAGCTCTGTGTCTCAATTATGGCTGGCCTGCGCTTCAGACAGCTCGGAGACCAGTCATCACATCACCTTTGACTGAAGGGATCAAGCCGCAAATTATAACAACACAGCAAATCTCTGACAATTTGAGTGAGTGTGTAAAATACAGGTTTGATAAAAGAAATGAGCCAGGAAGTAAAACAGTCCAGCATTTTCCAATAAAAACATCAGGGATCGTTTATAAATTCTTCCCTTGGCTCGCGAGTTCAGCATTTTTTACTGCTGTGTTCAATTTATGTCGAGTCAGTGAGCGCTGCAGAAATCAGTGAAAAACCTGCAGCCACTGATAAGGGAGCCACCACCCACAGCACCACCCAGACTCACACAGTTTTCCTCCAGTATTTTAGGAATTATGGGTTTAAACTGGGAATTAGATTTTATTTCTACAACTGTAACGCCGATTTAAAAAACAACACAGGAGATCTGCAAATATCAAGCAGGATGTCACGTGTTTCCAAACTGGAGATTTAAAGGAGGATTGGCTCTCTGAGGGTCAAGCCTGAGCTGAGAAATAAAAGCAAACAGAGAAGGTTGACATCTGAGTCGTATTAATGCCCGAGCACTGATGGCGTGGATATGGGTTTTGTTTTCTTGCTTTCTTCACTGTGCATTTGGACAGTATTGAGTCGCAGAAAGAAGCAGAATCCACGAGAACCTGAAAACCTGACAGAGGTTTTTCAAATTCCAGTTTTTAAAACTGGAAGTGAAATGATAAAGCACCAAAGAAAACTGAAACTGAAAAGCTGGTATAAAATTTTATGTCATTAGAAAAAATGCAGCAAATATGATATCAAGATTCCTCTTTAAGCCTTTAATTTAAAAACAAAACAAAACAAAACACAATAATCGGGTTTTTTTGTATTTATATAAATAAGTTTACCATAAAAATGATTTTGGTTCTTTAGTAGTTCATAGCTCTTACTGAAGAAAAAAAGTGTAGTTTAAGTATCGGTCTAATGACTGCGGCTCACAACATTACATAAAACATTTTATTTCGATTTTTATTCTAGATCCATCAGATCTACGCCAAAGTTAACGAATAATAAAAAGCTTAAGAGCCATTTTAAAGGAGCAGAATGCCTTTTTGAAAAGACTGTTCTATGTTGTTGACATTGTGAAGCTATAAAGAAGCCGACATCCGGAAACTGTCAAAACATCCCTAAACCCCATCGAATTAAAAAAAGAAAAGATAAACAGACTGTGTTTGTGGACGATCGTGGTGGGATGACTTCATGCGTAAAGGCGACACAACAGAGGCCTCCCATCAAACAATTATTGTTGTTTGAATTTATTTTATTGTTTGCTTTATCAATTTTCTGCAACGTTAGCTCGCTTTTTTGGTTATTTTTTTTTTATTCTATTATTTGTTACAGTATTTCATTTATTACGTTTAAGCACAGATGTCCACTGAGCTATAGATATAGAAAGCGCGACAACGAAACTCACACCAGATAATATATATTTCATTCAGAGATATAAAGATATATTTAATTTCACACACACACACACACACACACACACACACATATATATATATATGATGAGCCGTTTTCTTATTGTTAACCAAGAAATGACGTACCTGTTTTTGAACAACAGATAATACCAAAGGAAGTTCACTATATCGTCTTACGTTTAGTTCGCTGTAGGTTAAAGGCGTTTTATGCGCTGAGAAAATGCTGTTTAAAAGTGGCCGCCCGCCTAACTAGGGTCAAAGTTTTATTCACACTCTCATCATTTACCAATTACAGCAGCGCCCCTTCGCAATTAAACTAATTGGATCCAATCAGGCGGTGCAATGAAATGAAAATATCATCAGTTTGGGGCTCACTATTTGTGCCATCTGAAAACCTGTTAATTCAATTGTCCGACTCAACTCCAATATTAAGGATTGTAGTGCAGATTATCGCATTAAATTCGCCCTAATTTAATTTTGATGGCCAAAGAGACAATTTGATAGTCGGGAAGATTATTGCTCTCCTTAACCGCGTTACGCACAGAACCGCTGCCTCTTTGAGAGCCTGCATATGCTGCAGTTGACACTTTTAATGCTTCAGAGTTTCACCTCTCTGCGGATGACAGAAAGTTAGAAAAAAAAAACAGTTTTGGATAATGGTTTGATTAATCAGAACACTCCTCCATTCACGCCGATCTGCGCTCTGCTTGCTCACTTGTGCATCCGTGCCATTGGTGATCAAATCTCCTAAACCCTTAATAGCTACCCGCGGAGTTTGTGGGAAGAAGCGGAGCAGTGAGTGACAGGTTCAAAGCAAGTGTGCCTAATCGAGAAATCAGACGTAAAACTAACGCCGCGCTGACTCCCTCCGGAGAAAACACCCTGATGCTGAGCGATCACGGTAGCTTTTATTTGCACAGCGTGCCCTTTGATACACAGGCCCTTTCAGTTTCTTCCCTTTAAACTGAAAACACAAGATTAAAACTCTGATCTGTTTTTTTTTTCTCATCTTAATTATTTCCCCACTCACCGTAGCAAGAGATGAGCGCTCCGTTGTGTCCCCTCTCCTGGTGCAGTTTGTCCTCCTCGGGGGGTGTTTTGCAAGAAGACCTCTGCATGAAGAGGTGGTATTTGCTGAAAGTGCCTTGCCCAGCTGCGGCGGCATCCAATGACTGGCACTCCTGTTGGAAGGGGCTCCTGGACTTTTCTCCGTAACCCTGACCTTTGTTGGGCAGGAAGGCAGCGGGGCTGTATTTGGTATCAGTAGCTGGGAATGTCCTAAAGTGGTCCGTCTGGTGATCCCTACCTTGCGCAGCAGAAGAGCTATAATATGAATCCATGGATGTCATATCGCTGTATGAAACGCAGGTCTCAGTGTTCATGCCTAAAAAAAAAAGAGTGAAAGGGAGAACAAGACCAAACTTTTCTCTCTCTCTCTCTCTGTCTCTCTGTCTCTCTCTCCCCCCTCTCTCTTCCTATCTCTCCCTCTATTGGAAAGGGAAGCGCAGAAACCCCTTCCTCTCCTTCTACCTCATTCAGATGAAAATAGACACACACATATACATCCGCACGCACGCACGCATACATACATGCACGCGGTGACTGCAGCGCACACCAGACCGCAGCTGGGTTTGGTTATAAAACGATTCAGATCTTTTCCAGGAAGCACTGTCGTTGACCAAACACTCCACAACTCCCCTCAGGTTTGAGGAGAGTTACACAAACCCGTCTTCCCTTAGAGGATGGGACACAGATCTCCTGCCTTCGAGACCTCTCCCAAGTGATTATGTTGATGACATGAACGAGTTAGTGCGCTCATTTGGGTTTTTCTTTTTCTTAAAAAAAAAGAAAAAGGAAAAGGAGTTTGCAAGAAGAGAGGCGTGGGGCTTAACACGTGACAATAAAGCAATTTGGATATGAATATATAGCCTGCGAGTGATGGCACCGGGGCGGAGAGGGGACAATTTTATCCTTCATTCGCAATGGTTCATCAAGGGCAAATCATCCATATTCAGCCGACAGGTCCAAGTATGTGGCTTCAGAATAACACGAGTATTGCTTTAAAAGATCTTTTTTTTTTCATCTCTGAAATATCAACTGAAACGGGTTTCGGAGTCACTTGCATCCTATTAACTTCAGCGAAAAAAACCCCAGTTTGATTTGTGGCGATAACTATTACTAGCTATATACTAGCTTTATTAGACTTTTACATTTCAGTTAAATACGATTATTATTATTACAGTCTTACTAAATAATACACCAGCACCCAGGTAGATTATGTGCACAAACCACCGAAAGATTTGAGTTATTACTGATACTAATTAATATATTTGTTTTGTCATGCTGACCGACAGCTTTAATAGCATGCCAGAAATACTTTTCCTCTGAATAAAAGAGTTCAAAATTCATTTTTCGAATTAGTTTCCTTATTGGTTTTTTTTATGACATAGGAGATATAATTTTACGCCCAGAGAAAAGTTTGGGAGTAAAATAATATTTTTATGTAATTTGTCTTTTTATGGTTTCATACTGTGTATAAAATAAAAGCTTGAACATCTTACACAACGACCGTTCTTAAGGATTACTTAGAAGTGAGTATATTTCCGGTCTGCTTTAGCTAACCTTTCTATTAACCTGACCAGTATAAAAACATCCTGTTGGCTTATTGAGGTTTCCTACTTTAATCAACAACTCAGTATTTGGAAGACCCTTATCATCATTTATAATTATTATTCGCAAATAATTAAGTACATAATGGCTTTTTACCTATAATCATGTGCAGTACAATTCAAGCACTGCTGTATTTATGAATGAAATTTTTGTAGGCTATGAATTTGTCTCAGAGAAAAATATATTTTTGATGATAATAAAAAAGTGATCATTTTACTCCAATTATATCACAGCTTCAAAATGAGTCTGTTATATTTGATTCAGGATATTTTCAATACTGATATTTTCCATTATCCATAGACACCCATGCCAAATGGATATATATATATATGTGTGTGTGTGTGTGTGTGTGTGTTAGTTGCTCTTCCAGTGGAGTGCACATTTGTTTTGCATATACTCACAGAGCTTATGGGCAAGCAGCAGAAAGGAAGACGGATGAACTGCTCGCTTCACATTATATGCGGACACACACTGCATTCAAGGCACAAGTAAGCTCATACTGTCACACACACATGGTGGACACATGCAAACACGCGTTTTATGTCCGAGGGAAGAAAAGAAAGCAAGCGAGTGAAAGACGAGTAGAAATCTGCTTCTTTGACTTGGTTGGATTTCAAATTAAATCCATGAGAATGAAAGGTGTCCATAGTTGCATGTCTGATGCAATGTTCATGCTCTGAAAACCTGGCTCACACTCTGCTGTAAACCGACTGTCCTCAGGGAAGAGATAAAGTGACTTTACAACAGTTTATGTTGCATCTTTTGCTGTCAAACAAATATCTAATTGCTTTGAACTCACTCCTCTTTTGCCAGAAGGATGATTTATGGCAGTGAACCAGAGTTCATGATCACTTAAACTAATCGTCAACCTGCTAGAACAGTATACTTCTGTCTGGGCTTTTTCTTAGCAGAGAACCTGACGATAACTGATGAGCTTGTGGCTTCTTGTGCACTGCATGTGAATCAAGAAAGTATCGATTAATTAATGAATCCTTTCAGAGATAAAAACTTGTTTCCTAAGTGTCAGAATATTACCTAATGTGATGGCTGTAAATGAAGATGAAATGTAGCATAATTTATTATTCCTTTTGAATTTTCTTGGTGTGTTTAGAGGGTGCTTCATGCTTTGGCCACAAACATAATCTGGTCTCCTTTTATTCAGCGGACAAAAAACAGAAAAAGTATCCACAGTTTTACTAACTGATCTTACAAGAACCTTGGACACTCTTTGTTTTTTGCAGCCCAGGAAGGTCAGAGCGAGAGTGTGTGGGATTGTGGTCCTCACTACTAAAAAATTATTTACGTGTCAGTTTTCTGGCACCGTGAGTGGAAGCGTCCCCCTAACAGTAGGCCCACCTGCAGTGAATAATGGAGCATTAAAGCACACAACACACACACACACACACACATACACAATGAATGCATTCATGGATCATATTTTACTTCCAAAAACTTGCGTCTGTCTTTATAAAGTCCAGTATTTAGTCAAATTCCTTTAGAGAGAAGTGACGACTGATGACAGAAGTTTAACTAAGTAACTATAATGAGGTTCACATGGTTAGAGCCCCTTGATGAAAATTCATTTGACCAAATCCAATATAGTTTTAATTGCATGTTATTACAAGTACATTAACCAGCACCAGAAAGACGTGCAGTTTTGTATGAAGACTGACTTTTTCTATTCCATGATTTATAGCATTTTTTCCACTTACTTTAGCTTTAATTTCACACTTAACTTGGGGGGAAAATGGGGATTTATGACTGTAAAATTCATGTCTTGTGTTAATTTTGTGCACTTAGTGGATGCATTGCTCAAAACATATCTCAAATCAAGTAGCAGATGGAACTGAAAGGTTAAAGTTTAATTAGGACTGATACAAAGCCCAATATTCCACTCAGGAAGTGAAAATGTCAGCAGACAGTCGGCAGCTTCTTCATAAACATTTATTATAGCCGGATACTTTGAAACCACGAGTCTACTGACTCACAGCCGTGACTAATTTTTAAGGAAGCCCTGTGTAATTATGTTATATTTAATGAATTTTCTGCTTTCCCAGTGAAACATGAAGACATTGTCCTAATGGCACAATGAAAAAGGCTGTTGTCATAGTCAGTGACCTTGAAATGGCACTTTCAGCGAGTGCAGTTTTTTCAGACGCCTCATTCCACTAACCGGACTTACCAGATATCTGTGGATGTTGGGGTTAAAAATAAACTCCAGGACAAGGAAGAGACATGAGCCCACATCCTCACTGCACTAACAGCATTAAACTTTAGCCTCTCCAGTTTGACTTTAGCCTGTGGCAAAGCAACTTGATTGAGGCCTTTGATGGGCATTAATACACCGTGGAGAGACGGCTTTGTCCGGGAATGGAAATGAACATAAAATGGAAAGCGGAACAGGAAGGAGAGAGGCCCACAAGAAGATCTTATTTAATTCACATAAAAGACAAATTCCGTGTTCCCAACAATCTGAGGATCATAACTCTCTGTGTGTGTGTGTGTGTGTTTGTGCGTGTGTGTGCACAGCAGAAATATGCTGAGGATTTCTGAAGTCATAGCAGCTCGGCCCACGCCATTTTGAGCATGTTGCCTGTGACAATTTAAAAACGTGCTCGAAATAACATTTTCGGTGGCGGTGGACAAATCAGAAGCCCATACCTGGCACGATGACGAGAGCCAGAGGCTAAATAACTGCAATTAGTCTTTGTGTAAAAATTACTTAAGCTCTACGCAACTGTTCATCTGTAATCAATCTGCCTGAGTAAGAGATTATTTGTGTCACATACATCACAATACTTCTGTAGTATATTTCTGTATATATTTTAATTATATACACTGACACTTCTTTCATTTTGTTATGCTTTGATCTGTATTCTTTGTTCTTGTTTGTTTGTTCCTCTATGCTTTAAATTAATTGTATTTTATCAAAACCATATGAAAAGTGCTTTGGAGGACGAAGTTCTGGAAGAGCCAGTAGAGCCAGTGGCATGGATTGCAGGAATTAAAAAGGACCTATTCTATTTAATGGCAGGCTTCAGAGAACAAACAGAACAGCGACATCTATACGCTTCAAGTACTTTTCTTGTGGTAACGCCAAACTAAAGCATGACACCTGATACTTCCTTTGGTCACTTCATCAGTGGTGTATATAGATAGTTTAGTGGGATTAAATAGCTCTTTATTTTTACCTTCATGTAAATACGAAGGCCTTGTTCAATACAACCTCACAAGTGTAGATTGTATTTTTAGAGGTCTGCAGAATAAGTCAGAACCACTGTGAGCATATTAGCAGACCTTTCCAGCATACAGTGCTCAAATAATATCAAAAATATATTTAGAATTAGGTTATTGAACATTCAAGTTTTGGTTGCATGTAAAAATAAATAGATATTAGTTTTCACTCTTATGCAGATCACACGCAGCAGTGCATTTCTTTAAATCCCAATAAATACGCTGAGTGTATCTCACATATGAAATGCTGCAGCTGACCCACTGAATGTGCTCAGGCAAGGCTCTGCTGGCCACCCCATAATCTGATCTGAGGACCAAGGGTGACCAGGCTTTTTCTGTCAGGGCCCTGCTCTCTGGAACAACCGCCCCAAGGAGATCAGATTGGCGAGCTCCTTATGTTCTATGCTCTAAGACACATTTTTTTCCCTTTGAGTTATTTTATGTTGGCTTCAATGATTTTTTTAATTATTTCTTCTCA